AAGTGATCTTGATATTTTAGTTGGCCTTCTAGATCTCCCAGAACCACCTGTCCCAAAGTGTCCTGGAAAGCCCTGGAAACCTCTCAGATAGTAAAGAAACCCAAAGTACCAACAAATGAAGATCTTTTCCCTCATCTGTCTAAAGACACGAACCCAGTAACAGAAACATACACATATGGCACCCCAGGACTTGAAAGAGTTTGACCTTGCAGGATCTTCTACTTTAATTCCTGATATGATGCATATTTTTCAGGCAACAAATAGAAAATCATAAACATGATTTGCTTTTGAAATGTATAACATTGTAAAGCAGTGGTGGCTCTCATCTTGTTAGCGATGATACTGAAAGAGAGTCACCAGCAGTCTTCTGGAGGAACTGAGAGCATAAGCCAGTTCCCTGTGCCTGACTCAGGTATAGATCTGGAGTAATTCCATTGAAATCAGTGAGTTATAAAGGCGTAGAAAAAGTGTGAGGGGAAAGTCAGGCTGTGCTGACATGGATTTCTTCAGCTACTTATAACTCATCATCCTCAGAAGCCAGAAGCATTCTAGGAACTACTGCGCTGATTCCATCACATCGTGTTTGAATCATCGTGGGAGATGGAACAAAGAACTCTGGGAATCATCTGAGGAAAACAGTCAAATGAACCTTAAGGGTAGTGGGAAAGAGGGCCCAGGATGAAATAGGGTGAGAAGCCTTTACCTGGATGTTTAAAAGCACATTATTCATCTCTCCAGGACTGACAAATGTCTGGAAACTGCAAAATAAAAAGGGAATGCATGACTTGTTCATTTATTTACTCCGGTTTATATTTCTGCCAGCAATTCTCTTATCAGGCTACCCTCTTGGAAGAGATGTTAGAGGGCAGCTCAGAGAATCCAAGATAAAAAATTCTCAATCATGCAGATTCCTGCTAGAATACGTTTTCAAAACTGCATAATTATTTTGTGTATATAAAATATGAACTATTTTATATAACTATCACTGCCACTACAATGGAGAGACTTTTATGTGGTAAAAATACTCAGACACCTTAGGTCTGTCTGCCAGGATATTCACAGTAGCAATTGGGGGATGCACCTCCCCATTTTCCCCTCCAAAATTTTAATTGCTAAATGGGATGCCCCCACATGTCCCTTCCTTGTCCCTCTGGGTGGCCCTCCCTGCGCAGGCCAGTCGCCCCTGCTGGTTACAGTAATATAAATAGGGACCTACTAAATTTATGTCCCTAAAGACATTATGGACTTAGAAATCTGGTCTCTCTCTGTGAAATCTTGTCTTTATATGCTTTAAGCCTATACTATACACATTTCTTGGGGGGAAATCAGCATTTCTCAAATTGAGGGTTCTGATCTGAAAGGGAATTCTAGGAAGTGGCAAGACAATTTTAGGAAGTTCTGGGTTTTGCCATTCTTCTTCGCTGCTTTCAGAGCTGGGCAGCCAGAGAGTGGTGGCTGCTGACTGAGAGCCCAACTCTGAAGGCAGCAGCACAGAAGTCGGGATAGCTGTACCATATCATGCCATCTTCACTTCTGCCCTGCTGCTGGCAGTGGCTCTGCTCCCTGTCAGCAGCTGCCGCTCTCCAGCCATCCAGGTCTGAAGGCAGAGCTGCCCCCAGCAGAAGGGCATAAG